GCTTAGAGAAAAGAATATGGTAAATGGAATTTTGACCATTAGTCACCCTAACCAATTATGTGAGGCATGTCTTCTAGACATGCAAGCAAGATTAAGTTTTTCGAAAGAAGCAACATCGAGAGCAATCGAGCCCCTTCAACTTGTACATACATATGTATGTGGACCAATCACTCTACCATCATTCAATAAAAATATACTTCTTGCTCTTCATTAATGATTATAATAGAAAGACTTGAGTTTACTTCTTGAAGTATGAATATAAAGCCTTTGCCGTTTTTAAAATTTTCAAAACTCCTGTTGAAAGGAAAAGTGAGTATGAGCTAAAATCATTAAGGTCAGATAGATGAGGCAAATTTAGTTCCAATGAATTCAATGATTTTTGTAAAGCACGTGGAATTATTCGTCCTTTGACGATGTCCAGATCGCCAAAAGAATAGAGTTGTGGAACAAAAAATAGAACTATTCTTAACATGGATAAGAGTATGATGTAGGAGAAGAATATGCCCAAAGAGTTTTGGGCCGAAATTGTTTTATGTAGTTTATTTGTCCAATCGCTCGTCAATAAAGAACTTGGATAATGTAACTCTTCAAGAAGCTTGGAGCAAAAGAAAGTCGAGTATGAGACATTTCGAGTGTTTGGAATTCAAAATGACCCCGGGATGAATATGGGTGTCTACATACCCTAAGTACTAGTATGACCCAAAATATTAGAATAAGTTCAAATTAGTCAGAATATGATTCCTTAATTAATATAAAATGGATTTGGATGAGATTTGTTCTATAACCCTTTAATATACTTAATTACATAATGGAAAATTCATTTTGGTGTTTTCTGGTTGAATGCATATTTTGATTTCTTTACGTTTTAGTCCCTAAAAAATGTATGTTTAATTAGGTCCCTAAATGAAGTCTAAATTCTCTAAAATTTTGTATGTAACGAATTAATGTTTAATAATGAATATTGGCATGATTAATGGCATCATAACTCAATGAATTTATATATTATGTGAAATAACCATTTTATCTTTTATGTCAATTTCGATAAATTTACAACGCATGTTTATTGTTTGCTTGGAGTAATGATGTTGGTTCTCTTTTTGCTGCTGTGATATGCATGATGAATTTTTATAATGTTTTACTTCCTTTTAGTACACATGATTTAGGATTTGTATTGTTCATTTCGCTTCAGAATTTAACGTGCACTTAAAATACTCGGGTCATCTAACGTAGTTGGATATAGGGTGTTACGTTACCCTCAATTTTAAATTACAATATATAAGATTATATACAAATATACTAGAAGTATGAAGGTAAAAGAAAATAAGAAGAGCAATTGTTTAAACATTTGGATATATTAACTTATGTCGGTAATTTAATCAATTACTCATCAAATAAGATTTAATGTGGTTCGTTCTTATTTGTCTTCACGAATGAGAGAAATAATAATATGCTATAAACATAGTGGTTGTAAATAGTAAAAATATATGAAATTTCTTATTTCCCATAACCTAGTATATATATCTATATGTATTTCTAAAAAATTGGTATATCCTAACACCTATTTTAACATACTACAAAATTCCACTCTGCAATTGAGATTCTAAAAATTGCAGTGATCACAAAAAGATTGCATTTCTCTACAATATTTATTCCTCACAATTATAAAGGTTGAGACATACTCTATATTTATAGGGGTGGGGGAACTTGACCACCAGAAATATTTATTCCATAAAAATTCATATCTAAATATACCTAATTGTCAAATAATCTTCAACTGATAGAATCACATTAAAATTCAATTTAATTATCAATTAAAATTTGAGTCGATATATAATGTTTTTCAAATCGAAAGCCTAAACACTCAATTAATAAAATAATTTAATGTCAAGAATTTAAACTCAATAATGTTCCTAGATAAGAAGTGGTATGTGGATGCTCAACTCCATAGAACTCCTGAGAAGAATGAAGCTTCAACATATTAGACTTTAAGATTGCAACTTCTAGTCGTTAACTCCACCATATCAATTTTAATATTCTCAAAACCAACCGAATCACCCAAATTTCATTTGAACCGATTTAACACGTCGTGATCTACTTAATAAAAAGATAAATTGAGAACAACCTACGGTGGTTGCAGAGTCTCTCAGTGTCCATACAAATATATGTAGCTAAGATAGTAAAATCTATGGTGGTTTGCAGTCTCTCAGTGTCCATACAATTAGGATTATAAAGTTTAATGTACTTTTATGAAATTCTCTTGTATTTGTAGCTAAGATAGTAAAATTTCTATTCTCTGCCTGTAATTTTTCTCATTTGAGATTTTTTACATAATATTCATATGCTTTTATTTGCGATCTCGTTTCTTTAATCGTACACTATTCGTAACATAAATTATCTTAAATTAGATACAATATATTGATTTTATCAATCATATTCTCATATAAATATCCATGGCCGACAAATCATGTGATTTCTTTCCTTAAATTTCACATGGAAATTTTCCTTTTACTCCATTCATGATTTGGCACACATAAAACATGTGATCAAAATCAAATGAGTGGCTCAAATTCAAACTCTTAAGTTTTCTCCTTATATTTTCGGAAAGCAATTGAAAGCTCATTGCCTCTCTTTCAATCTTTTTCCCTTAGCAAAGTCCCATTTAATGGTGTCCCTTAAGTCATCTTCCCAACTTATTTGGGATAAGAAGTTTGGTGCTAACACTTGAAGTTCGGCACACTGTACAATTTCCCCCATCCAACGCCATTCCAAACACCTAACCTTGTATTTTCGTATACATATAAAAAGTTTAATCTATTAAATTTGAAACAATATAAAAAATACAGTATGATGATGTTGTGCATGAATTAACTGAATTAAACTTTGAAAATTCAAGTTAAAAGAGGCTAAGAATAAAATTTTCGGATCAAGATTCAGGTTTAGAAGCTACATTATCAAGTGGTGATATTGTTGAGCCAAAGGGACGTGGGATCATAGCAGGGATGGATCGAAGGGGCAGGTGGGGCCAATCGCTCCCTTAAAAATTTAAAACTATCATATATTTTAGATTTTTTAATGTATTTTCTATGAAAATATGTTTTCGTCCATTAAAATTTACCTCTAACATAAAATTTTACGTTCGTCCTTATAATGGGATTTAATTTGTAATTAGTAAGGAGAGGAGCATGTGAAAGAGATGGTTGCGAACACTACAAAGAGTTAGGCTCACATCGAGCGTCGAAGGGTTTTGCATGGTTAATGCACCAAATTTGGAAACAAATGTGAAAAAGGCAAAGTTGAAGAAGTCTATTTTCCTTATGTCATTGCCTTGGAATATCGATATGACGAGTCGAGTTCCTACGGCTCTAGTTAGGTAAACTCGTGGATTTTGTCTCTCTATCCCTTGTTAACATCATATATTATAGGGTAAACTGCATGTTTAGTATTCTAACTATCATTTTCATTCTGTTTTGATCATCAAACTATTTCTTTCAAAACATATCTAACGTTAAGTTTTGGTTTCATTTTGGTCACCCATCATTAAAAAATTAACAGAACTGTTAACGTGTCATTTTAAAAAAAATCAATGATGACGTGAAATTATCTTACGGTGACACATCAGCATAACCATTAATTTTTTAACGGCGGGTGAACAAAATAAAATCAAAATTAAACATTAGGTATAATTTAAAAAAAATAGTTAGATAACTAAAACGGAACCAATGTGACAGTTAAGTTACTAAACGTATAGTTTACCTTATATTATATCAAGTGAGTAATTTTTAAAGAAACACGAGAGATTATTTAAGATTGAACTTGTAATCTAATATCAATCAAGATTAAAATGTCTTTTATCAATAATTTAGTAAATTATAAGTTTGATTGTCATACATCAACCATGCATTTAATTTTGTTGATGTCATGTAATAATATAATGAATATATATGTGAGGTTTTTTTTCAAGGGTGGTGAAGTGTTTTGGTAAGCTTAATTAGTACGGTATTAGTATTGTCTGTACCTATTCATTTTTAGGTAAATGAAACTGAATTAGTATCATGCTTTGTTTAGCTTTTGTATTGGATTTTTATATTACTTATAAATTTAATGATATTTTGTATTTGAATTTATTAAAAAATAAAGGCGATTTTAGCTTTTCTTATACTTGAATTTTTTTTTTCAAATTTAATCGATTAGCGGAAAATTAGCAGACCTATTAAGTTTAAGTCAACTATTTTAATTTGGCATGATATCAAAAATAATCTCCAAAGTTTACTAAAATGGTTGTTTTGGCTCTTATTTCTTTTTGAAGCATTTTAGCCCCTAACGTTTCACTTTGGGGCAAAAAACTCCCTATATAGATGAAAATCATTAGTTAACAAGCTATTAACATTCCAAAATATGAGCATTTTTTAACCTAAAATGAAAAGTTGAGGGCTAAAATGTCACATAAAAAATAAGGGACAAAGTGATTATTTTGTCAAATGTTAAGGGGCTTTTGCCCTAAAAAAACGTTGGAGGCCAAAATGCTCTCAAAAAAATAGAATAGGGGCAAAATGATCATTTTAATAAACGTTGGGGGGCTATTTTTGGCATAACACCTTTTCATTTTTAATATAAAATTAATAAATTTTATCATTTTTAAAAATTTAAATATATTTTTACATTTTTAATACTTTATTATCTTTATCTTTTTATTTTTTTTGTTACAAAAAATGATAAAAAAACACACAAAACATATTTATTACTGTTATATTTGGTCACATAATCTTTCGTCATTTTTTTCGTCCCTGGAATTGGATTAAAGCCCCTTATGGAGAGAAAAGTTCCACTGCCGGTATATCAAATACCGGAAACCTTATTGGTTTATTTACGTGAAAAGATTAATAAACTGAGTTGGGAGGGTCGCTCTTGCCTTTACAGTATTCGATCCAGATTAATTAATCGATTAATAAATCGGAAATCAATGGTTATAAAAAAAGTATTTAACTAAAAGCTCTCGTATATATACATAATGTATATGTATGTATAGGTGGATATTATATAAATATATAAAAATATATATGTAGTGCTATATAAGATCCTATTACAAGCCATACTTAAACCAGATTAACATATTGAGAAATACCAAGTTCAGATCTCAGCCTCATCTATAACCAACCCTAACATTTTGCCATAGAAATGTGATTAATTAATCTTCTTGTTTATTCACCATTAAGCACCTGCATGGACCAGATATCCTCCATGCTCCAATAGTTTTCATTGTTCGATTGATCAATGACTTGTTGTTGCTCTTGTTGTTGTTGCATCTGCTGCTGCTGTTGGCCGGGAAACAGTTCGATGTTGCCGTGGTTAAACGACGAGATCGGGGAGTACGATTCCGTAAAACCGACAGGACTATTGCAGGGCAACTGGCTTGTGCTTGCTTGATAATCATGTAATTCTGGGTTACTGGTATTGGAAGAACACATCTCTGCTTGCTTGTTGATGTGTTTCTGGATTCGAGTCCTCCAGTAATTCTTTATTTCGTTATCCGTCCTTCCAGGCAGACGCTTAGCTATTTTTGACCATCTGTATGTACATAAGTATATTAATTTTTTTTATTAAAATGCAAATTAATAATTTAATTCAATCCATTCATACAGATAAAATTTGAAATGTAAACCTACAGTGTCTTATAACAGTCCAAAATAATAAGGTTCATATCAACTTCAACAAAGTTTAAATGCTTCTTTATCTTCCCAAAAGAAGCCCTTAACATGTGTCCAATTGAGAAAGGTTCAGTCTAAAATGGAAACCTTTAAATTTCCAATCCGTTCTGTTAGCTGTACTACTTTTATAGTTGTTTAGCACACTAATGATTTTATATACATAAATGAGATATTGAATCCCACATTCATATATCCTTAAAAAATTAAAATTAAATTAATTAATTAAAATTTATACTTGCATGAACCAAGTGACATCAGTGATTAAATGAATTGGTGTTATTCCTAGAAGTTCCAAGTTCGAGCACCAGTGACTGCAGGGTATTTAATGTTTATTGTCAAATTATTAAGAATCTTTAGAACAAATACTACCACTTGTACGCACCCTATATTAATTATAAAAAAAATCAAAATTACCGCACCTTCTAGTGTATTCTAAAGAAGCCTTAATAATAGGGATAAGAAGAGTTTATGTCCCTCTCAAAATTTTGAAAAACTAGTATCTAACCCCTCAAAATAAAAAAAATAAAAAAAGTTAAGTTAGTCCCTTTCAAAATTTTAAAATTCTTGTTAAAATTTAATTTCTTTTTAATATTTTTAAACAATTCTCATTCAATCTCTTTTTTTTAAGAGTTAGTTTAGGCTTTTAAAATTTTAATTATATCCACCAAATTATTTTATCAAGAACCTACATTATATATATATGTTATAAAATAATATTAAAATATGTTCAATAGAAAATTCAAAGAACTGAGGTGAGTTTTACGAAGGAGTTATTTCATCCACATAAAAATAAAACTAAAGAATAAAGAAAATCCATGCGTGAGAAATCATTTTGGTGGTTGAAAAAAAATCAAACCCCACATTGCTAAATCCTCAAGAAATATATAGGCTTTAGAGGAGTGCACTTCTCTTGTTCTCACAATCAAAATTCAAATGTTGTATTTCAACTCATAACACACACCAACGAGTAGTGAAGAAGATCAACAGGTACTATTTATATGTATATAGATGAGCAATATACTATCATAACTAACCTATTTCCCCACTTAGCATGCAGCTCCATGATCAAGAGTTGTTCTTCGGGGGTGATATTGCCTCGACGCACATCGGGCCGGAGATAGTTCAACCATCGGAGTCGGCAACTTTTTCCGGTACGTTTCAACCCTAATAAAACAATTCATTTAATATTGTTAGGGCTTCTATGAAAAATTTAAGTATGATTCGTGAGAGTTGTAAATAATTAAGCTTAAATTAAAACTATATATATATATATGTGTGTGTGTTTACCAGCAGCTTTAGCAAGATTATTCCAAACACCTTCACCATGATTAGCAATATAGTTGATGAGAATCAAATCTTCTTCCATTGTCCATGGCCCTTTCCTCACTTCCACATCTTGAGATTTGCATGGTTTTTTATCCATTTAAAAAAAATAGATAGAAAATTAATAAGATAGCAATAATATATATTTGTATAAGATATTTTTTATATTAAAAGAGAGAGAGAGAAAGAAGAGAGATGGAGAGAATGTGATGGAGAAGAAGGTAGATTGGGTTTATATAGAGCAAAATTAAGAAGATTTTGAGTAGCAATATTTGTTGCTAATTGTCATTAGAGATGAGTTATTTGACCTAACTATTGTGTTAATTGCAACACATGCATGCATGCATGGCCTCATATTATATAAACATGTATGATAATTTTAGGGTTAATATATAATAAACTATCACATTTATGATCCTTAGTAGACTCCACTAGCAAAGTTGTTAAGATAATACATACTCTTAAACTCACTCTCAACCCACTTTATTGTAGTCCAAAATAGGTCAAATTTGATAGAAGGTCCATATCTTTTATGCTTTTATTTATAATCCCTTTATTATAATTCAACAAACTTTAGTTCTCTATATCTTTTGAAATTAATTTTTTTCTATTAATATATATATATATAGAACTCTATTACTCCTTTCTTGAGCATGTGACATTTTATTTACATACCTAGTCATTTATAAATATTTAATAAATATCATAAATGAAAATTAAGTTGAGATTAATTTTTGGGATAAATCATATTTGATACCTGTACTTTAATAATAGTATTCAATGAGACATTTGTACTTTTAAAATGTATAATGTGGTAATTATCCTTTGACGGAATGTATAATATGATTCTTGTATCTGATGTAGTACTTGTATATATCTTAAAATGTTCGATGTGGTTCCTATACTTTGTCTAACAGTCCAATATGGTATCTGAACTATCATTCTATCTGTTATTATGGTATTTGGATTAATATCATTATTAGGTACCGTATTTGAACTATCATTTTGTATATCATTATAGCACTTGGGTTAATATTATTAATAACTGTCAAATCAATCCATGATAATGTAAATGTACTATAATAATGCACAAATTGATAGTTGAAGTACCATATTCAATATTTTATCAAAGTACAAGTATCACATTGGATATTTTATCAAAATACATGTATAATAGAATGATTAAATGTTGATATTGTGTCTTTAGAGATTGCTTATATAAGGGATTGATTTTTTAAAAAATGATCAAATAAGAGGTCAAATGAATTGGATTAGATAAAATATTATGTTATGCACATGAAGTGTTAATTATGTTAAACATCTTCAAATTATAACTTCGATTATGAATTAACCAAATCTATTAAGTGATTAAAGTGAGTGTTGTTATCTCTAAAGGTTATGAGTTTAAGTATATGCTTCCACAATGTGTATGTGTATTGTCAATAACTAAAGAAAATTTTGAACAGTTACTATCTTATAATCACCTAAACCATTTAAAACTTTATAAATTAATCTTCAATCTTTAAATATATGAATTAATGTAAAATATATATTAAATTTTTTAAATAAAATTATTTAAATAATTAGAATATTGTAACACCCCAACTCGTACCCGACCCGGATACGAGTCCGAGATGTCACATTGACTTTTAAAAACGATTTCTTGCAAAATATCAAAACATTTGAACTCATTTTAAGAAAATACGATCATATATTGTTGAATTGTGTTTCATATAAATTTCCGAGTCAAAAACATATTTATGAACAGTAAAATACAATATGAACAGTACCGTATGAACAGTGATGAACATTGATGAACAGTACTTGGATGTTAAAATTTTCCAGATTCAAAGAGGGGAACCGATTCTCCTGCTACAGGGAATCGATACCCTGCTACAATACCGCTACAGTACTTCCGTAAAATGCGTATAAATTTATAAAAATCTAAGGTTTCATCCGTATAAAATTTATATTTACATATACACATTCCAAACATTATAAAATTCAATCATATGATTTTACAAAACCGATTAAAACATATCGGATTCAAATCTTTATATTACATGCCAACTAAATTCTATATAACCAAATACATGTAATTCAACTACATTTCTGATCTGATCTTCGATAAGGAGAACTGACATGTCTTGTTCCTCTTTACTTCTCTTTTCGCTTTCAAAACCTACGTGTGAAACAATCACATGCTAAATCGATGACTTAGTGAGTCATATAAAACATATAATATAACTATATACCATTTCATATAAACAAAAGGCATACATACACATATACCATCATATTTCTATTCATATATCAAATCCACACATGTGCATATATGATTATTTTCTTCTTATCATTATCCTATTATTATCATTAATACTTTTTGTTCATATCATCATATACTTATCATTTATACCCATCATATATCATTTCATAAAGAAATACACTTAACATCATATAATTCACGTAATACAGTTCATATAACTAAAAACATATATCGTTTCATATAACCAATACATGAATCCTGTAATTTATTCCATGTAACAAATCACATATACATATCATATTCGGTATATTTATTTAATTTTTTTATTAGCCCATGTACACTGTTGAGAACTGAAGGTATGTGAGTACATTGAGGTTGTGCACTAATGTTGTCACCACAACTCGTATAAATTCCCACTATGGGCACTGAATATTTGTCCTGAATGACCACTGTATATCCCTCGATAGGGGTGGGAATAGGCCAGACTTTAATAGGTCCGAGCCTGGCCTACAATGAATTTTTTAGGCCTGAGCCTGGCCTATAGCCTATCAAAGGCTTTTATTTTGGCTCGGCCTGGCCTTTTTAAAAGCCTGGCTTAGCCTGATAGCCTGTTTCAAAGCCTGTCTGCAAATGATATCCAATCTCTCTTCCACTGATTTTTATATTGCGAACGAGAAAGTATGAGAGCTTTCTACATTTTCGGTGTTGTATATGCCCCACCATGTTTTCTATATGGAAGCTCGACTCTAGGTAAAAAGTTACGTACAATATATATTAACTGCTGGGGTGGGACATGGGTGGCTTATAATATATATATTAGTTGTTGTATATACTAGCTTTCTAGGCTTATAATATATTACAACCTTATAAGCATGTGGGAATTGGCAATACCAATGCAGTGTTCTTCACGTGAGAGCATGGGTAGCTGCATAGGGAGTTGAATCTTTGTCTGCTCGTGGGTGGTGCTTGGGCAGTAGGGTATGGCCTTTCGACATTTTAAAATAATTTCTGTAATATATTTTTTGGGTAAAAAATTGGTGTGTACAGTATATATATCTATATAGGTCGGCATATCAGGCTTATAAAACTTTTTAATAAGCCTAAGCTCGGGCTATTTAGTTTAACAGGCTTTTAAAAAACCCGAGCCTAATCTTTTTATTAAATAGGCCAGGCCAGGCCAGGCTTTATGTAGGCCAGGCCGTAGGCCGGCCTGGCCTATTCCTACCCCTATCCCTCGACTCTTGGCATGCCAACTATACCACTAGCTCTCATATCACATAACATGGGCATTATCATTTATATCATTTCACATATTCACATGTAAATTTCACTTTTCATATGATTTCATAATCATATTTCACTTAGCTTACAACACTTTTCTTGTGTTCATATAACATGTAAATCATTGTCATATCTTGTTCTCATATGCTTCACATACATCACATTCATATCACATATTCATATAGGCTCACGTTTTATCATCTATCATATGTTATTTCACATATACACTTTTATATGATATAAACATGTATCTTCTTATCACATAGCTTCTTATTATATCATTCACCTTTATGTTTATTTACATAAGCCACACAACATTTACAAGAACATATCCACTCATATAATCAAGCATACATATATTTTCATGTCATTCATTTCATTCTCTATATCCTTATAATCAATACTCCATACACTATAACTATTGGAAATAGACTTATCACAAGTTCAATTCCTTATAATCCTATAAACTAAAATGCACTCATAAGAATCATATAACATTTTTAGGAGTCACTTCTAACCATAGTAACTCCGTCACTGGCTCATCGCAAGCCAATGTTTTTCGATAGCATAAGTACAATTAAATTGCACTCACCTTAGCATTGCTTTGATTCGATCCTAATCCTTTGATTATTCCAGAACTTGTTTATAATCAATATCTACATAAATATAACATTTCAAAACAATTATCAGAAGCCTAAACCTTAAAATTGATGTTAATAACTTAAGCCCAAAATTCTATATTTTTTTCTTTAGGGGGAATTGATACCCCCCAGGGGGGAATCTGTACCCCCTGCACAATCTGGAATTTTCGTTCAAACCCAGAAAACCAGAAAATCACTGTTCATGCACGAAAATTCACTATATCAACTTAAATTCTTCATGGTTCATTCCCTTTTCCATTCTTAACTCAAATATATATACTTAAACTAATTTATATCCATCCATTTCATCTTAAACCTCAAAATTCTATTATCCATATAGAAATCAATAATCGTACCAACTTTTCAACATGTTCTAATTTCAATTCTATCACTTCATATCTCTTAATTAAGTTGATGACAAGTCGAATTTAACTTCAAATTCAACTTATCAACTCTATTTCAAGATTTCACTAAAAAACTCCAAATCTTTAATCTTCTCTAACTCCTTTATCTTTTGATTTTAAGATAACTTAAGCTTTCCTTAAGCTTAGTTATCATCTAATGATCAAAACCCAACCTTTAATTCAACAATTAATCAACAAAATATAAAACTCACCTTTTCCTTGGAGCCTTCACGGGAGGAAGAAGATGAAAGAAGAAGAAGATGAAATGTTTTCATCTTACTCTCCCCACGTGAATCATTGATATAAATAGAAAAAAATATCTTTCTTGCTAAATGACTATTTTGCCCTTTAATTCCTTTGATAATTACTAAAAACTTTCAAGAAATACTTTCAAATAAATCATTGAACCTTTCAACTTTTCCACTTTAATCACAAAATTCTGAAATTTTATAATTTAATCACTAACTCATAGTTTGGGATGTTACAAATCTCCCATCATTTTAAGAAAATTCTTCCTCAAATTTTCATGGCACACTTTGATAAGAACATATCTTTTAATACTCTCATGTTGTTTCCTTTA